CACGTACATTTCTGAAAAAAGTTGGCAATTCATTTTCTTTCTATCAACTAGTCAATTAATTGACTAATAGGTTAATCTCTACTGTGATGCACGTACTTAAACATTCAACAACATAATGTACTACACACTGCGTTCACTGAAAAATAACTTGTACCAGGTTACTCCACATGCTGCCATTATTAATATCTGGTTACAATAAAGTTCTTAGTCATGAAGTGTTCCTGTTATTTTCTGCTAATTCATTATATCTCAGACAGTTTCTGGGGGACTTTACTTCCGTCATTTGCGGTGTGTCTGCAGTCTGACGGTCTCAAGGACTCAGCAGCAGCTTGTTATAAGGTGTGAGCGGTCTGAATTAAACCAGATCCAAAGTGTTTCACCTCACAGAATCAGACATCCAGCCTGGTGAGAAGATGCTGATGCAGCACAGCAGTTCAACTGTTTCACTGAATTAATGATGTATTCATTTGATGAGGAAAATCAGTGAGAAAGCAGTGAAATCCTGTTGACTCGCCAGCTGTCCTAGTTCCTGTTGGGTTTTCAATTCAGTTTCCTCCTCTGCTGAGGGATTCAACTCCATTAGCACACCAACTCTAGGGCTGCACAATATGGTCAAAAATCCACATCAGTTGTGATTATTTTGACCAAAATCACGATTGCGATATGATTATGATTCATCTGGAGAACAAGGTTTGTAGGCCTCTCTCTGCAGTAGTACAGTAAATCATTCTAAAGGTGTTTTATTACACAAATATTCCAGTTTTTGATAATAATTTGATTAACTGTGCAGCCATACCCTTCTCTCCTCACTGCTCTCTAATAATGGTGAATTCCTTTTGGTTGTGCTTTTCTGGAACAAAAACATGATGCTGACCATGGAGTCACAACGCCCCCAGTTTGAGTCCAGCTGAATGAATGTCATCTCGCCCTCTCTCTTTTGCTCATTTCCAGTCAATTCACTACTGTATCCTATCCACAATATAAAAAAAGACAAAAAAAACAAATGAATGAAAAAAAAAATAAGCCGTCAACGTTCTCAAGGTTTTCAGGGTTTTTACCCTACAATATTAGCATACGTGCTTTATGTTATTATATTTTTATCTAACAAAACAGCTATTCCCTCTGGTTATTTTATCCATAAACACTTTCTCATTTGAATTTCCAGAAAATGAACAATATCACCACATATAGCACTTTATTCAATCTTAACTCATACATACACAAATAGAGGATTTCATTCCCATTACTGTGGAAAATGACATCTGCTGATCTACCATCCTCATGGTGCTGACTGCAGACATGACAGGCTACATTTAGGGCCCTATAAATGATCTATAGTTCATGGTCTAACATCCATTGCATTTAGGGCAACTCTATTTTTTCTAATTAAACGGTGCATAATCTGCACGCGAAATAAGGCGCAAGGCACAAAGGGGTTTTATTTAGTCTCTTCATTAATCGTAGATGTGTTTTGGGTAGAACATTGCAGACTAATGTCAACTGTCCCTATGCACTCATACTTCCAATAAAACTCAGGTTGGTCACTGTGTATCAGATTACCCACAGGACTAGTATTACTAGTATCATGGCCTGTATATGTCTTGTTCTGTGCACCACCATATTTCTCTCCCTCCCCAACCCGATAGTCAATGGCACAAAGGCTTTCTGCTGCCTCTAGATAGAAGGTGCCAACAATGGCCTGACCACACCTCATTTTAAGATCAACATGCCCATGGGTGCACAGAAGGGGCACAGAAGGGGCACAGTATATTTTCTATTTACAAAACATGGACATCGGGTGTGAAAATGACTAGGTCTAAGATGAAGAACAAGATACAGAATGCAGATTACCGTGTAAAGAACATGTCTGCATGATTTAAGAATGTCTGCACATTTAGAGAAAATCCTTTTGAGTCTATAATAGTACTGCCACAACTTGTGCAGTTGCTGGCTGCAGAGGATGATCGAAACTTTTAAAGATTAAATCTGGTATTGTTCTCTATTGTTTTACTTTCAACAAATCCCACAAAAAGAGCTAAACCAATGTTAGTCTGTCTTTCAATTCTTTCTGACTTCCCTGTTCTGTCTGTGGCTTTCAGCTCCAAGCCCACTAGTTCCCACTGAAGACAGAAATCTTTAAAAACCACAAAACATGTAGTTTTGTTTTTAGAAAGGCTCAGTAACCCGTACAGTAGCTAGTTGTCACTGTTATACTTTAGCAAATGTTACTCAAGAAAGAGTAAATAGTGGATTTGTTGGGGACTATTTTCAGTGGTGGACCATCCTCATTTGGTGCTCTAGTGAGTGTTTGGGGCAGCTGGGTGGTGTATGTGGGATGTAGTAAAAATAAACTACAGTGTGTTTGTTCATGGTAATGAGGATGTCAGCCAGCACAGGAGTGTGGCTCAGTGATTTGTTTTTAAATCGTTTTTGGACAACAATGGAGCTTCTTTCGATTAACATTATTGCATTTATGACCTCCAAATACACAATTTGGGAACAATGTCATGTTTTTATGTTATTTTCATGTACTTGATGTAAACAACAACCTTGCATGTTTGCATATGCTCCCACACTCACTTTGAGTATTTGTTGTTGTGTACCACGCTGTGAACCATGATGAGCAGGGCGAGAGGCAGAAAATACATCACTCGATGTATTTCTGCAGTAACAACCCTCTCTCCTCATGTGGAACATCTGCCATGACTTCATATGAAGAATGAAAAGATCAAATCCCTGTTGTCATATGTTTTCAGGGTGGTAATGCTCTGACTCCACTGACAATATAACAAACACAGTGAACACTGGTGTCTCAGGGTGACATTTCAAACATGAAGAATTTGTATCTCATCACATGAGGACAATGATGTCCACTGAGGAAGACGAGTCGTCTCACTTTGATCATTCGGTCCGTCAGCTCCTTTGTGCCAATACAAACGCTGGGAGAGCTGCAAGTTACAGTGAGATCCTCTCGTCTCACAATTGCTGGCAATTAGGGAGACGAGCTGCAAGTGGTCGATAAGATCTCCATCTCATACCAGATGATAGGCGCTTCAGCAGAGGAGGGGAAGACAAAGATCAGGGGAGATAGAGGG